TGGGTCTGTGTGGTTGGGCTGCAGGGCTGCTGTTTGCGAGTGCATGTTGATGTTCGCTTGTCGCGTTGGTCTTTTCTTGCTGCACCTCGCCTCCCACTCCCTTGTGCCCAGCTGTCTCTGCACACAACACTCACAGCTTCCTTGCCCCCCCTTTCCTGCCCCGCTTTCCGTTTCCTTTCTGTCCCTCTCGTCTCTCCACCCCTCCCCACAACCCGAACCTATCTGCAGCGCTTCACGTACCGGCGATTTGGCTTCCCCATCCCGTTCCTCCCCATCGGCCTCTTCGGCCTGCTGCCTCTCCCCCGCACCTCCCCCGTCACGCTCGTCGTGGGCCGTCCCTTTGACCCCGCGGCCCTGCTGCCGGCACCACTGCAAGCTGGCGAGCCATGCTCTGTGACCTCGGAGCAGCTGTGCGCCATCCGTGACCGGTACTACGAGGAGGTGCACGCACTGTTTGAGCGCCACAAGGCGCGCTGGGGCATGGCGCACGTGCAGCTGGAGCTGCGGCGGTAGCACTGGGATGGGGAAGGATATGGTGGGATGGGGAAGGATATGGAGGGATGCTTGGGACGGGAGGAAGGGTAGGTTGTGGCGAGGACAGGGAGGGAGGGGAGGCGAGGCCTGATGGTTGCGGCATGGAGATCGTTGCAGGTTTAGCGAGCAAGGAAGGATGCACAATATCAAGTGTGGAACGTGGCAAGATTTTATGCAAGGTGACTATCCTGGTCACCTAGACTAATCTGGTAGGCCAGGCGTAAGGGTGCAGAGGACTTGCGAGGTGTCTATAGGCATCTAGGTGACTATCCTGGTCACCTGACTACAGCTAATCTGGTAGGCCAGGGCGAGGTGGAGCAGAGGTGGAAATAGGAAAAGTAGGCAATACAGGGACAGTGCAGAGGTGCAAAGTGCTGTCATAGGGGCGCAAGAGGCCCCATAAGCAACAAATAGCTGCCATGGAGGCCCTGGATATTAGTAGTGTAAATAGGTCAATGAAGATTGAAATTGCGATTGAATTTGGAATGCATTGTATTGCTACCAAGCTAACATTCAGCTAATGCCACAATTCCTGTTTGTATGGTCAAACCAAAATCCAACGCTGTTCATTCCAAATGTTACGACAGCATTTGAGCGAGTGAGCGAGAATTGCACTATCGAAGCAACAAGTCCAAATGAGCAAGGGCATGAGCGAAGAATATATAGCGAAGCTGCAGTGGTAACGGTAATAGACTGTGGTTGTCGCGTGACGGGTGTGGGACTGAGGTTGGGAAAAGTGTCGAAGCGGAGGCCCGGAGCGCGGGTTACCGTACCCGCCGAGCCGTGAGGTCGGGGTGCGACGTGCGAAGGTGGCGGGAGGATTGTCGATGCGAGAGTTGCGAGTGGTAACGGTGCCGACTGTAATGCTACAGTGATGTACGCGCTGAGCGGGGATGCGAAGTAAGGAAAAGAAAACTCCCTTACACTACCCCCAACCCTAAGGAGGTCCTTCTTTACGAAAGTGCGTGTACATCCCTGAAGTTTCGGCTGCGCAGATACTCGGTGAGGACGGGGTGGTTTTCGATTCTGTCCAAGGGAACCCAGTTGTCTTCGGTGGGTGTACGGTCTTTCCAGCGGAGCACGAACTCGATCCTTTGGGCTCCTCGAGGGTCGCGAACTCTGTGACTCATAATCTTCTCGGGGGTGATGATTGGTTCAGTCGGCGGTCGAGTCATGCTGGCTGGGGGATTGCGTGGGAGTTGGCTTGAGGACGGGACGTAGGGGCAAAGCAGGCTGACCTGGAATGAGGGGCTGACGTACTAGTCAGCGGGGAGGAGGAGGTGGGCGGTGACGGGTGTGATCATGTGGCTGATGCGAAATGGTCCACAGTATCGGGGGCGGAGTTTTGGGGTGATGGGCAGGCGGAGGTTCTAGGTGTCAAGTAAAACTAGGTCATCGCGCTGGTAGGTGACAGGTCTGAGAAACTTAGAACGAGAATGATGAATGACTAAGTAAAAGTTGGGTATAAATAGAAACCCTAGAAAGCTGTACCCCATATGTGCTACCCCATTATAACCTACAACAACTATGTCATATAAATCTGACACACCCCCATATGCAAAGTGGGGGAGAACAAGGGTGGATCACAAAGTCACCACACAGTCCGAGCACAAGGTCAAGGCCACAAGGCCAATTCACATGCACGAGTACACATATATATATAAGGCTAAACAAACAAGAGCAGATATACATATATATATATGTAAGAGTACAAGCAAGGTCAAGGGGTGAGCAAGTGAGGCAAGACAGGGACAAGACCCAGCTGAGTGCAGAAGCGCTGATGATCACAAGGCGGAAGTGCCTTGGTGAAAACATCAGCAGTGTTGGCCTCAGAGGCCACGTACGTAAGCCGCAACTGACCACGCTGTTGTAGCTCACGAGCAAGGAAGTAGCGAAGAGCAATGTGCTTTGTTCTGTGCTCCAGTCTCTGCTCTCGACACAAGGCCAGCATGGCCTTGTTGTCTACGTAGAGGACTGGAGGAGAACGAGGCGGCTCTCCAAGGTCGGTCAGCAGGTAGGTCAGCCAGCGAAGCTCCTGTGCAGCCATGGCCCCGGCGTAGATCTCAGCCTCACAACTGGAGCCGAGAACAGAAAACAAGCGAGTAGCCCGCCACGAAATAGAGCCGGAACCAAGACTGAAGGTGTAACCCTGTGACGACCGCTGAGTAGCCTGGTCGTCAGCTCAAGAAGCGTCCGCGTGCCCAGTAAGGACCACTGGAGTCCGCCCTCCAAGCACTAGCCCCATGCCCGACGTACTTCACAAGTAGCGCAACACCCTCTTCGCTGCAGCCATGTGCTCTGGTCGGTGTCTCCCAGGAGCAACATAGCGTGCAAGAATGCTAAGAGGGTATGCAAGGTCAGGTCGTGTGCAGGTCATCAGGTACATGAGACAGCCAACAAGCTCTGGGTACAGACCACTCGACTCTACGGACTCATCCAAAGGCAGAGCTGAGAGCGAGTGGCGAGTAGACAGAGGAGTGGCCTGAGGCGAGGAGTACGTGAAGCCGAAGCGCTGAAGGACCTGCTGCACCATGTGTGACTGAGTCAGGGTAATGGTGCGGCGTGCTCTGTCCCGGGTGATCAGCAAGCCAAGGTAGCTGCGCAGTTCACCCACTGTACGTATGCTCGGACGGGCCGACACTTGGCCACGTTTACCCATCGGCCGGGGTCGAGCCTGTACACACTGACTACTGAGTCTCCTCCGGTTGCTGAGTCTGGTCAGTTAGCTGCGTCGAGTCAGGTGTTTGCTGCAGCGTCCAGGTCTGGTCCTGGGGCGAATGATGCTCAGTCGCAGGCCAGGTCAAATCTGGTCAGGATAGGTGTGAACCATGATTGGGTAGCGAGAACTGAATGCGAAAAAGGTTGATGAAACAAGCTCACAATTTTTTTATGTGAGTCTATAACGAATTTGTGTCGAACCAAAGATGAACCGAACGAGCCTCTGGTTCGGAACCAACAAATGCACGATGTTAGCAGGGAACTCAAATGCTGGTTGTCAGATGTCTTTTCGAAGCCCCGCATAATGAACTCCTTGGAAAATCCCTACTTCCTGACCTGACACTCCCAAGGAGAAAGGCAGCCCTTGCGAAGAAAGTTCCATTCGATCTTCTCTGCTCAAAAGCTATAAGAATTGATCAGTTGGATTGCCTATCAGCACGTCAGCGTGGCGTCACGACGATAGGCAATGATACGACTGACGACTTGCCTCGTCGTCGTATAGATGGCGAGCCATGCCTTCCAATCGCCTTCCGTCCGTCATCGCGCACTAGCCGTCGCTCGCAGCGGAAGACTCCGCCTCGCATCTCTTCGTGAGCACCTCTCACCTTCGCCAGCTGCACCTCTCGCATCGTTGCATGCCACCGATTCGTCGCGCGCTAACATTTTCGCAGATACGCCTTCGCGCCGCCATTCCTGCGCGTCCCATCCTCTCCCACCTTCATCGTTCCTCAGCGCGTCTCACCGTAACCAACTCTGCGATTCAGGTACTCACCGTAACCCCGCGCTGATCCGATTAGTCGCCACTCGCCCGTCACCGCAGCCTGCGTCTCCTAGCATCTGTCGACATCATTACCACAGCAGCCGCACGCCGCCTGTTCATGAATCCGGGCTCTCCGCTTCGTCCGCTCTGATTTTGCGGCTTTTTCACTCTTCTCGAGCCGTCCCCGCCGCTGGATCGGAGCCGCCGGTTGCCGGGAAGAGATCTGGACCGTCGGGCGAGAGAGCGGCTGGCGGGGAGGAGAGTGTGGGGGATGTTGAGATAGTAAGAGTAGGGCCTAGGCTTAGTAGCCTAGGCCAATGGAAGTCGAGAGAGTTTAGGCAAAGAGGAAGGAGAATGATGTTGTTCACTATAGTACAAGGGTACATATAGCGAACAAATGAAGAGGTGCACCACCTACAAAGTTAATAACTACACTACAGGTAGAACTACATGCAGTTATACCAACATAATTCTGACATCCCCCCGTAACTGCATGCAGGAATAGCTAAGTGCAGAACACAACCTGCAGAGGTACACCACAGACAGAGAAACCAGCAACAGCAGGTAAGAGGCAGAACTAGAGAGGGAGTCGGGAGGAGGAGGGACTATATGAGGAGAAGCTGCTGGCAGGTGAAGCTGCTGGCTCCGAGGCGGCTGCTTCCTGGAACCTTCCCCAGCCCTCCAAATCCCCCTTCCACACTCCTTGACAACCCTAGCACCTTTCCCCCAGCTCCCCCACACCTTCACACCCACCCCCCCCAGCGGCAGCTGCAGCAGTGGGAGAGAAAGGAGGAGGGGAAGGTGATCACACACGCCCATCACCCCCATACCCGCCACCCCCATAGCCTCCGTTCCACGGCTGCACGCGCAGCAGGGAGACGAAGAAGGGGGGGGGGGGGGGGGGGAGGAAGAGCAGGGGCAGCACAGGCACGGGCAGGGCAGTCGCACGTGCAGGGCAACAGCGCGGAGCAGGGCAGGGCAGCCGCGCATGCAACAGGCAGCACAGGCACGGGCAGCAGTAGAGCGCACGAGGGCGCGGGCAGCAGCAGGGCGCACGAGGGCGCGAGCAGCAGCAGGGCGCACGAGGGCGCAAGCAGCAGCAGAGCAGAGCGGACGAGGGCGCAAGCAGCAGCAGAGTAGAGCGCACGAGGGCGCGGGTGAGACAGAGTGCACGAGGGCGCAGGCAGCAGCAGGGTGCACGAGGGCGCGAGCAGCAGCAGGGCGCACGAGGGCGCAAGCAGCAGCAGAGCAGAGCGCACGAGGGCGCGAGCAGCAGCAGGGCGCACGAGGGCGCAAGCAGCAGCAGAGCAGAGCGCACGAGGGCGCAAGCAGCAGCAGAGCAGAGCGCACGAGGGCGCGAGCAGCAGCAGGGCGCACGAGGGCGCAAGCAGCAGCAGAGCAGAGCGCACGAGGGCGCAAGCAGCAGCAGAGCAGAGCGCACGAGGGCGCAAGCAGCAACAGAGTAGAGCGCACGAGGGCGCGGGTGAGACAGAGCGCACGAGGGCGCAGGCAGGAGCAGGGCGCACGAGGGCGCGAGCAGCAGCAGGGCGCACGAGGGCGCAAGCAACAACAGAGCAGAGCGCACGAGGGCGCAAGCAGCAGCAGAGCAGAGCGCACGAGGGCGCGAGCAGCAGCAGGGCGCACGAGGGCGCAAGCAGCAGCAGAGCAGAGCGCACGAGGGCGCAAGCAGCAGCAGAGCAGAGCGCACGAGGGCGCAAGCAGCAGCAGAGTAGAGCGCACGAGGGCGTGGGTGAGACAGAGCGCACGAGGGCGCAGGCAGCAGTAGGGCGCACGAGGGCGCGAGCAGCAGCAGGGCGCACGAGGGCGCAAGCAGCAGCAGAGCAGAGCGCACGAGGGCGCAAGCAGTAGCAGAGCAGAGCGCATGAGGGCGCGAGCAGCAGCAGGGCGCACGAGGGCGCAATCAGCAGCAGAGCAGAGCGCACGAGGGCGCAAGCAGCAGCAGAGCAGAGCGCACGAGGGCGCGAGCAGCAGCAGGGCGCACGAGGGCGCAAGCAGCAGCAGAGCAGAGCGCACGAGGGCGCGGATGAGACAGAGCGCACAGGCACGCGCAGCAACAGGCAGCACAGGCACGGGCAGCAACGGGTAGCAACATGCAGCACAGGCACAGGCAGCAACGGGCGGCAACGGGCAGCACAGGCACGGACAGCAACAGGCAGCAACGGGCAGCACAGGCGCAGGCAGCAACGGGCGGCAACGGGCAGCACAGGCACGGGCAGCAACAGGCGGCAACGGGCAGCACAGGCACGGGCAGCAACAGGCACAGGGAGGCAGCCGTACCGAGTCCAGGAGCGGCGGCGCATGCAGTTGCAGGGTCGGCGCCGTGGGCTGCTGCTGAGGTCCAGGGGCGGCTTCACCAGGGTCAGCTGCTCCAGGGGCCAGGGGCGGGTGCTCTGGGTCCAGGGTTTAGGTGCAACAGGGGCGGCTGCACCAGGGGCCAAGGGCGGCTCCGGAGGTCCAGGGGCGGCTGCTCCAGGGGCCAGGGGCGGCTGGTCTGGGTCCAAGGGCGGCTGCTCCAGGGGCGACGGCGGCTGGTCCAGGGTCCAGGGGCAGCTGCTCCAGAGGCCAAGGGCGGCTGCAGAGGTCCAGGTGTCAGAATTATATTTATTATAACTGCATGTAGTTCTAGCTGTAGTGTAGTTATTAAATTTGTAGGTGGTGCACCTCTTCATGTGTTCCTTTGCTATATGTACTTCGAATGCTATAGTGAAAACACATTCTCCAATTTCTCTCTCACAACTCACTCGACATCGCTCCTAAGGAAAACCCGCTCGATACCTAGTTAGGGCCTAGGCTACTAAGCCTAGGCCCCACCTTTCAACTCCTGTTCTTATTACTCTCGACATGTTATCGGAGCTGAGTTCGTCCTGGCCTGTGGGCCCGCTTTACTTCCGCTGCTAAAATTTTACGGTCGCGCGCCTAGGGCGCGTGACGATTTTATTCTTTACCTTGTCCCGCCCACGGGCGTGTGACTCCTACCCTGCCCGTCGCGCGCCCCGTGGCACGCGACGGTGCCCTTTATCTGCCCATCGTGTGCCCCGAGGCACACGATGGTGCCCTGCTCGTCGTGCGCCCCGAGGCACACGATCGGGCCCTTTTATCCTACCCGTCGTGCGCCCCGTGGCACTGGCCCGCGACGGGCCTCTCCGCCCCTGCACTCCCTGCTGCCGCCCCTGACCCATCTGCACCGACGCCTCTTCGCCGCTCTGCGGCTTTCTTCCTTCCCACCCCCCCCTTTCTCTTATCTCCCTGCAGCCGTGGGGAGGAGGGTATGGGGGTGGAGGGTGTTGGAGCGTGGGGTCAACTCTCTCCCTTCCCCTCCTCCTTCTTTCAGTCCCACCGCTGCAGCTGCCGCTGGGGGGGGAGGGTGTGAGGATGTGGGTGAGCAGGGGGAGTGGTACCGGGGTGGCGGGTGTGAGGCAACAAGTAGCCGTCCCTCCACCTCTCCTCTCTTCCCCCCTTCTCTGCTGCTTCTGCAGCAGTGTGGGGGAGGGGAAGGAGGAGGGTGAGGAGATGGAGGGGGTAACCTTTCAAAGTTAGCCCGCCTGCAGTACCTGCTGTTGCTTGTTTTATTGCTCGTTGGTGTACCTCTGCAGGTTGTGCTTGGCACTTAGCTATTCCTGCATGCAGTTACGGGGGGATGTCAGAATTATATTTATTATAACTGCATGTAGTTCTAGCTGTAGTGTAGTTATTAAATTTGTAGGTGGTGCACCTCTTCATGTGTTCCTTTGCTATATGTACTTCGAATGCTATAGTGAAAACACATTCTCCAATTTCTCTCTCACAACTCACTCGACATCGCTCCTAAGGAAAACCCGCTCGATACCTAGTTAGGGCCTATGCTACTAAGCCTAGGCCCCACCTTTCAACTCCTGTTCTTATTACTCTCGACACCAGGGGCGGCTGCAACGGGGGCGGTTGCTCCAGGGGCCAGGGGCGGCTGGTCCAGGGTCCAAGGGCGGCTGCTCCAGGGGCAGCGGCGGCTGGTCAAGGGTCCAGGGGCAGCCGCTCCAGGGGCGGCGCTGGTGCATGGCAGAGGCAGTGGCCAGGGGGGAGGGCGCCGCGACGAGCAGGGACGGCGCCCAAGGGGCGCCGCGACGAGCAGGGACGGGGCCCAAGGGGCGCCGCGACGAGCAAGGGCGACGCCCCAGGGGCGCCGCGACGAGCAGGGGCGGCGTCCAAGGGGCGCCGCGACGAGCAGTGGCGACGCCCCGCGGGTCCCGCAGGGGCGTCGCGACGAGCAGGGCGACGCCGCGCGGGTCCTGCAGGGGCGTCGCAACGAGTAGGAGCGGCGACGCCCGGGTCCCACAGGTGCGTCGCGACGAGCAGGAGCGGCGCCTCGCAGGGCGCCGCGAAGTGGAGGGTACGGGCGGGCAAAACAGGCCCGCGCGTGGACGTGAGGCAGGCGCGCAGGCGGCGTGAAGGCAGGCCGCGCGCGGGGCAGGAAGACGCCGCGTGCCCAGGGCGCACGGCGGGCAGAAAACCGCCGTGCGTCCCGAGCACACGGCAGGACGATAGGCAGCGGAAGCACATTGGTGGGCCCGTTAAGGAAGGCAGCAGGAAGGAACCTGCTCTGAATACCATGTTGAGATAGTAAGAGTAGGGCCTAGGCTTAGTAGCCTAGGCCAAAGGAAGTCGAGAGAGTTTACGCAAAGAGGAAGGAGAATGATGTTGTTCACTATAGCACAAGGGTACATATAGCGAACAAATGAAGAGGTGCACCACCTACAAAGTTAATAACTACACTACAGCTAGAAATACATGCAGTTATAACAACATAATTTTTGACAGGGGATGTGCGTGTGAGCTATAGCGCGACTGCGGAAGCAGAGGGGGAGGCGGCGGAAAGAAGAAGAAATCTCGAAAACGGAAGGGAGGAGGGACGGGGAAGGGTTTGGGATGAGGTTCGGGAAGTGGATCGGAAAGCTGAGGCGCGGGGCGGGGTGGCTTTAGCGGACGGCGATGAAGATATGAGCGGGTACGGAGTGGCGTCGGCGGAGAATCTGCGCAACGCGAAGCAGATCGCGAACGCGATTCTCAACGGGCGGCTCTTCGCGGGCATGAGCCGCGGGAAACGGCACTGGGCGGGGGACGACGCTGGGGAGAGTGGCGGAGAGGATGGGGGAGTGGGAGAACGCGTGGGGGGAAGGAAGGAGAGGCGCGGGGAGGGGCGCGGGGCGGGGGGAGACGACGAGGAGCAAGAGGAGGAATGGCGGAGGAGTTTCCGCGAGAGGGGATGGCGGCCGGGATTCAGGGGTTTGGGGGACTGGTTGGGGGAGGCGGGCGGGGGGCCGGCGGAGGAGGAGGGGCAGGTGCCGGTGGAGAAGCAGCGGTTTGCGCGCGTGCCGCTGGTGGGCGCGCCGAACGCGGGGAAGTCCGCCCTGATGAACCGCCTGGTAGGGGGAGAGGAGAGAGGGGGGTTAGTGCGGGAGGGAAGGGGTGAGGAGGGAAAGTGAGCAGAAGGGGAGGGTGAGTGGGTGTGGGAAAGAGGGGGACGGGTGGGGGGAAAGGGGACAATGATATTAAGGTTGGAACAGGGGAAACTGCAGGGATACGCAGTTTGGGCAAGGGACAAGGGACGATGGGGGATGCAAATGGAAGGGTAAGAGCTGAAGGGGAAGCGTTGAAGGGAGGTAAGGTGAGGGAGGGGGGCAGGAAAGAGCAGATACTACGTGAGCAGATACTGGGTTCAATGCAAGTTTTGGCACGCTAGTGCTCTCTTTCTATTCTGTCTCAACCCCTCACCACTTCCTTACTTCACCTTTGCCATCTCTCTCTCATCCACTCGCCCCCCGCGCCCCACTCTCTCTTACTTCTGCCGCACCGGCCCCCCTCCTCTTGCTTTCCCCACCTTTCACCGACCTCCTTGTCATTCCCCTCCCCGGACCCTCTACCCCTCACACCCCCCCCCCCCTCCTCGCCCTGGCTTCTCCTTCCCCCGTTGCCGTGCGTGCAGGTGGGGGTGAAGATATCAGCAGTATCGCGCAAGACCAACACGATGCAGAGGGAGGTGGTGGGCATTCGCACCACCGGCCCCACACAGCTGGTGAGCTTCGCTCTTCCTCTCGCCTCTCTCTGCCACCCCACCTCACTCCTCACCTCACTCCTCCCTCCACCCCACCTCCCGCCCCCTCCTCCTCCCTCCCCTCCTCCCTCCCCTCCCCCCTCCCCTCCTCCCTCCTTCTCTCCTTTGCGCTTCCTCCCTCTTCCCCTCCTTTCCCCATCCCTATTCCTGCTTCTCTCCGTCCCCCCGCCTTTTCCCTGTCCCCGTGCCCTCTCCCCCCGTCGCCCCTCCCTCTTCCCCCTCTTCCCTCCCACCTCCCCTCCCCCCCCCCCCCCCCCCCCCCCCCCCCCCCAGGTGTTTCACGACACGCGAGGGCTGACAGTGGCGGTGCCATCGCAGCCGCTGTCAGCAACTCAGCGCCAGGGTTCTCTTCTCGCATCGTCTGCTGTCCTGCACTGCAATGTGGTGGCGCTCGTCATTGATGCCGACCACCAGATCAGGAGGTGCGTGAGTGAGGAGGGGGTGCAAGGAGGAGGGTGGTTGGGGAGTGGGTGCAAGGAGGAGGGGTCGCTGCTCGCGTCATCCGCTGCTCTGCACTGTCATGTGGTGGCGCTGGTCATTGATGCCGACCGCCAGATCAGGAGGTGCGTGAGTGGTTGAGGTTAGGCGGAGGGTAAGGGAGCGGAGGGGGTTGTGTGTGGGGGCATGGGACAGGGGGCAGAGCGCAGGGGTTGAAGGGAGTAAGGAAGTGGTGCCACGTGGTGGTTATCTTGATTGATGATGACTGGCAGAACAGGAGGTGAGTGAGTGAGGAGAAGGAAAAGGATGGTGGGTGGGACAAGGGTGAAGGGAGTGGAAAGGGAGTGTGGGTGACAGGGAAGGGGTTGGGCGGTGGTGGAGGAGAGTGGGCAATTGAAGGCTGGCCGTTGGGGTGAATGAGCGAAGGGGTTTCACAAAGTGGTGGGGTTATACTGTGTCTCTTTCTACCTTGCCTTGCCCTGGTTCTTCCCCACTTCCCCACTTCCCCACTCACAATCCTTCTCTCTTGTCCAGAATGCCCCTCTCGAATGTCCCCCTCTCTCTCCATCCTGTTTCATCCCATCCCAATCCACCCCATCCCACAAACCCATCCCATACCGCCCCATCCCTTCCCACCGCACCCCACACCTGCAGGCCGGACCCGCGGGTGCGGCGGATGGTGGGGGTGGTGGGGGCGGAGCGGAGGGAGGGGCAGCAGCGCGTGGCGGTGTTGAACAAGGTGGATCTGGTGAAGGACAAGCGCCTGCTGCTGCCGCTCGCACAGGAGCTCAGCGCTTTCCACTCCATCGAAAGGTATGTAGGGTGGAGGGGAGAGTGGCAGGGGGTGGGGACGCTGGGTGCATGAAGGGAGGTGAAGGAGTGGAGGCGGTGGGGGGTTTCGGGGGGTAGGAGTGGGTACAGGGGATGCATGAGGGAGGGCGTTGAGGTTGAGGGTTGAAGGCGGAGGGAGGGGCAGCAGCGCGTAGCGGTGTTGAATAAGGTTGATCTGGTGAAGGACAAGCGCCTGCTGCTGCCGCTTGCACAGGAGCTCAGTGCTTTCCACTCCATTGAAAGGTGGGGGAGTGTGAGGGAGAGGAAGGAGGGATTGGGGGAAGTGAGAGCAGTGGGTGCAGGGGGGGAGTGGAGGCATCTGGGGAGTGAGTGGGATATGATGCAGTAGTGCATGTAAGAATGGATGACATATAGTGCGGCAGTGACATAAGTCATTGTTTCACAACACCGCCCAACTCTATATATTGTGCCTCAACCTGTCATGTCACAACACAGTCATGTCCACCCTTCATGCGATTCTTCTCATGCCTTCGCCATGCTTACGCCCCGTGTGTTCTGGGCCCCTTAGTGCCATGCCCTCATCCAACACCACCCATCTTCAACCCACCCCTCCCCACCGTGCAGGGTGTTCATGGTATCCGCATTGCAGGACAAGGGCGTCAACCTACTGGAGGAATATCTCTTCGACCATGTGCATGCTTCGCCCTGCCCTGCCCTGCCCTGCCCTGCCCTGCCCTGCCCTGCCCTGCCCTGCCCTGCCCTGCCCTGCCCTGCCCTGCCCTGCCCTGCCCTGCCCTGCCCTGCCCTGCCCTGCCCTGCCCTGCCCTGCCCTGCCCTGCCCTGCCCTGCCCTGCCCTGCCCTGCCCTGCCCTGCCCTGCCCTGCCCTGCCCTGCCCTGCCCTGCCCTGCCCTGCCCTGCCCTGCCCTGCCCTGCCCTGCCCTGCCCTGCCCTGCCCTGCCCTGCCCTGCCCTGCCCTGCCCTGCCCTGCTCCCACATCTCACTCACACATGAGGATGACATTCCATGTCTGGGGGGCTATGCCATGTCTGGTTGCCATGCCATACCATGGGATGAGGCTTTTGCGACGAGTGCCTTTTCATGTCATGGCTTATTCATCAAGTGTTTTGACTTGGCCCTTTGGCCACTCTCCGTTCCCCCTTCCAATATTTGTTCTCTGTTCACTCAAAAATTCATCTGTGCTATTTCCCAGTCACCCACCATGCATGCACCAGCCAGGTTGCTCCGTGAATGCAACAAGAATGTAATTCTTAGCTGCCTCCCCTCACACAAACACCCGCCTCAACCGACCCCTATCATTGCTCTCACTCATTTGCTCCCCCTCCCTGTGATCCGCATTATTCCTCCCATGCTCCCCCTCTTATGGGAGGATGGCGTCGACTCTCGGCTGTTGAGGCCTTTCAAGCGTTCTTCCTCCCCCAACCGTCCGTCCTTCTTCTGAGTCGACTCTCATGTTTCCCTCATCCCCTCCTTTCCGTCTGTCCTCCGTCCTCCTGCCGCACACACACCAGGCGGTGCAGGCGCCGTGGGAGGAGGACCCTCGCCTGCGCACAGACCAGTCCCCGGAGCAGCTGGCCATGCAGATCGTGAGGGAGCTGCTGCTGCACCGCATGCACCAGGTGGGCTGGGCTTTCAGGTGTCTCAATATCCCTGGAATTGAGTCACCTCCGTGTTTCCATGTGTGTTTTGATGCGTCTGAAACAGCCAAGTATGTTTAATAGACTCAAACAGCCAGGCATGTAGCTTTGTTGCGGCGTCCGACAGCGGATCAAAGTGGGCATTTGAGACATGTTGAAGACATTCAGTCATCTGAGAAGTCCCCTTACGCTCCTTCTCTACCCACCCTCTGCCTCCCTGTCCCATCCCCACAGGAGGTGCCGTATGCCATAGAGCACCGCCACGTGTCGTGCTCTGTGCTCAAGGACGGGTCGCTGCGCATAGAGCAGCTGCTGCTCGTGCACTCCAACGCACAGAGGGCCATGCTCGTTGGCAAGGCCGGACAAGTCGTGCGGTGAGTCCCGCTATTGTTATCGTGTGGTCATAACGTGGTGGGTTCATTCATGCTGTTGTTGGTATGTCTATAAAGCATGCCTGGTATTCATGCATGTCGGTATGCGACATGACATTAGAGCGTCGTCGGTGCCCCTTGTCCTTCTGTCATGCCTAGCGCTGTATTCCTGAGTGCATTTCAGCTGCCGCTGTTCTTTATTCCTTCAGCGTCTTCCTGCTTCCTGATGTGCCAGTGATGCAGTTCCATAGGCAGGGAGGCACGGTATCAGCTTCAGAATATCCTAGGCGGTCCTGTTCATCTCATCTTGCAAGTGAGAGTGGACCGCAAATGATAAAAATCGGCACATCTTATGCGTTGCCCCTTAGGCTCGCACGGCCTTCTGCAATTCCTGTTACAGGCGAATTTTCTCCGTTTCGCCAAGAGGTGCTATCTTCACCTCGCTCTTGTGAATGCATACTGAAGTTGACCCGTTTCATTAGTTTTCTTTCTGTAAAAAGGGATATGGATGTAACGTACTGAAGGTTCCGTTATACATGCTCGTCGAACCAGCAAGAATCAGTCCACAAACGATTCACCCCGCCAGTGCAGTCGGCTTCCCGTACAGACAATCCATGCCAAATCGGCTTCCCGACTTCCTTTCTGACAAGATCCGGCTTTTCCTGTAGTTATTCTTGTTCGTGACTGCTCGTCACGTCACACCATTATCGCTCGTCGACGTCGCTCCCTGTCCGTCTTCAGGAACGACCAGCCTCGTCTATTGTATGTCCGAACGAGCAATGGCCGACGCCACGCCCCAGGCGACATTTCAGCTCGGCGAAATCACCGCTGACAAACTAGCAGAGTACAACGGCTCTGACGCCTCCAAGCCCATTCTCGTGTCGCTGAAGCACGTCATCTACGACGTCACGTCAGCGAGTTCCTTCTACGGTCCCGATGGGCCGTATTCGATCTTCGCAGGCAAGGACGCGAGCCGGTCGCTCGCGACCATGACCATGGATGACGTCGGCGGGTCGCTGGAGGGGTTGACCGAGAAGCAGCTTAGGACGCTTGACGACTGGGTGGAGACGTTTGCACGGAAGTACCCCGTTGTTGGAACGCTCGTTTGAGCGAGCTTACCCGCGCTTCGCAAAGGTTCTTTCAGGCATGGCATTGCTTCATGTATATTTCCCGACTTATCTTTTTTTTTTTTTCTGTTGAAGCAAACCGCGAGCAATATACACTCTGTCCATTGTTTATTCTTCGCAATCTGCAATTCAAAATGGACCCTCTCTCTCTTTATCTCTCTCCTTCTCAGTCCTTCCCTCGATTATTTCCAATGCACCACCAGAGGAGAGGGGTTTGTGCTCCCTCCCGGCCGAACCCCTGATCGACTTCCTCTTGCCAAGTTTGTTAAGCAGCAAGCCTTCTATTCCAGCCATAGCACAGCGAACCTGGTGTGTCTGTCAGTCAATGAGCAATACAACGTGACAACACAGGTTCTGCCACGTGCTATTTGCTTTGTGGTGTTGTGACGTCCAATGCGCTGCGTGCTCCTGCCATTCGCCCCCCACGCCACCTCCTCCCGCTCAGCCATCCCCCTGAGTTGTGCCGCGCACAGGCAGGTGCAGAGGGAAAGCGGGAGGGGTGGGGAGGGGGAGGAAAGGGGGCAGATGGGCCAGGAAAGCGGGGAGGCGCAGGGGGGGTGCGAGAAGCATCGATCAGGAGTTTGTGCTTTAGACAAAAGAGCAGCGCAAGTGGCTCAGGGAAGCAATTGACGGCAGGGGATGGGCAGGGCAAGCAGGTGGGAATGGGTGGTGAGGGGAGGATGAGTGAGGTGACACACATGGGTGGCTGGTGGTGAGACGTTGGGGAGAGGGAGGCCAAGAGAGAGACGAAAGCCAAGGGGCACAATGGATGGGCTCATTGCATGCACCCTTCCCCCTCGTACCCCCTATCTCTCCCCTCCTCCCCTCCCTCCCACCCACCACCCACCATTGCTCACACGGGATGGTATCCCCTTCACACTCTCTCCTCGCCTGTGCTGTGCCATCCTGCCTACATGCCCCGCCTCAGCCTGCACACCCCGCACATGCCCTGATGCCCTCTTGCCGCTAGAGCTCACCCCCGTCAACCATCATCTGCTTGCCTTGCTCGTTAACATGACGTTGTTTCCCTTGAATTCTCAAAAGCAATTCCCACCGGTCGTCAACTGCTTTGAGAATGCCCTTCAAGGCTGCCCTTCATTTGATTGATCTTCTTACTGCCACACACACACACACAGCCTCCAATGAAGTCATTTGTGCATTCTGTGTTGCACTTCATGATAGTAGCTTGTACTGCTGCCACAGTTCATGCAGTGTCCCTAGAGCCTGCGCGTTGTATGCTCTGCGTGTAATGTGTCGTGTTTTGAGTTGATTCAAAACACGATTCTGTGTTGCACTCCATGATACAGTAGCTTGTACGGTAATGGTGCCACAGGTCATGCAGTGTCCCTTCCCTAGAGTTCTGTGCGTTGTATGCTCTGATATCAAAGAACCGTATTACAGTACCCATATCCTCCCTACCCTACATAATGCAAGGAGACAACAACGAGGGTGGAGAAAGAAACAAGGGATTGAAGGAATAGATAGTGCAAGAAGGATATTCACAAGAAAAGGGCATAGGATAGGTAGCATGATCTTGGCCAGCAACTATAACCATAGCAACATCAGAATCCCGCAACCATCAATCAATCAACTCGATATCCACAATTTCGTCCATCCCATCCCCAAAATCTCCTCCAAATGCTTCCGAAGGCAGATCCTGAAGCCGCTTCAAAACGCAGCCGTTTTCCTCTCCAGCTGCAATACCTGCGTCTCCAACCTTCCGCTTGCCAACACTCCTCTCCGCTGCTGCATCCGCATCCCCACCCCCCACTCCTCCACCAGCCCCCACCGCCCCACAACTACCTCCCAGCCCCATCCCTTCTTGTTCCCCCTCGCCACCCTCACCCCCTCCGTCCTTCCTCTTCTGCCCCATTTCCCCATCCCAGGCATCATATTCTCCCTGGGTCAAGCCCACGATAGCCAGCAGCTGTTGCGTGGACATGATGGCAGGATTCACGCGCCGTTGAACCACCATCCGAGCGAGCTGGATCATTCGCTCCGAAAATTCGTGCCTCGCTTTCTCCCTGTGCGCTGCTGCTCCCTCCTCTCCTTCCTCATACCCCTCCTGAACCTCGCCTTCCTCCACCTCCTCCTCCTTCTCCTCCTCCTCCTCCTCCTCCTCCTCCTCCTCCTCCTCCTCCTCCTCCTCCTCCTCCTCCTCCTCCTCCTCCTCCTCCTCCTCCTCCTCCTCCTCCTCCTCCTCCTCCTCCTCCTCCTCCTCCTCCTCCTCCTCCTCCTCCTCCTCCTCCTCCTCCTCCTCCTCCTCCTCCTCCTCCCTCCTCCTCCCCCTCCTCCTTCTCCTCCCCCTCCTCCTTCTCCTCCTCCTCCGCCTCCTCCCCCTCCTCCCCCTCCTCCTTCTCCTCCTCCTCCCCCTCCTCCTTTTCCTCCTCCTGAGACCCTCCTTCCTCACCCGTCTCCTCCTCTGTCTCTCCCTCCTCCTTATATTCTTCAACCGGGGTGTCCTCATCTGAATCCGGAACACATGCACAGAATTTACGCACCAACAGCATGACACGCACGCACAGCACGAACCTTGCCCCAAGGCTATGAAAACGTTGAGCCTAAGAACATCAAAGAACATCTCGTTCCCACGACCCACAGCATATCGGTACCCCTGCCTCACCTGGTTTGTGCCTTCTTGCTGATCCGCCCCAGCCGCCACGAGCCTTTCCCTCCACAAACAAGCACCCAATCCCCAACATACACAGCATATCAATACCCCTGTCTCACCTGCTTTGCGACGTCTGGCTGATCCGCCCCGGCCGGCACGTGTCTTCCTCTCCACACCCGCCCCCTCACTGTCACCCTGCGCCTCTGCCCTCCCGCTGCCCAGCGCACGAGCCACTCGCGGGCGGCCGCTCCCCACAGGAGCCACGCTGCTGAAGTCTCCACTGAAGAACCTAGCATTGGTCATCGCATCCGGGCCATCTCTCTCCATCTCAGCCACGTCGTACGCCCGGGCTGCTTCTTCTTCCGTAGGAAAATAGCCAATGCGCCTCTTTCTGTTCTGAAGCCAAATGTGTGCTACCCATTTTTTACTTTTGTTCTCCCACCCCACGCCTGTGAACCGCGACGACCAGTGGCTTATCTTGTGCAGGAGGGTTTCTTTAGCAATGGAGGCCCTGAACTGAAGCTCGGACATAGCATCAAGCTCGGCCTTCTGCTTATCTGTGAGGCCAAGATTGAGTGGAGCTTCGGGACCCTTGAGCTTGTATGCCGCCCTGCAGGCAAAGAGAAGAAAGATAGGCACCGAGGAGAAGAGGGATTTGAACAGATTTTAGGCTTGGTCGGTGTGACCCCTTAGGGGTGTGGTTGATGCAGGTGCGATAAGAGCTGCCGGAAGCAGAAATCTACATGCCAGCTTACTCGGTGGGAAACAGATTAGTGAACTTGGATGCGGAAAAAAAGAGAGGAAAACGAAACCCTCACCTGTCGTAGAGCCTAGCACCCTCCTCTGCAGTGCTCCTGCAACCGATATGATGCACTTCGCCTCCATGACATAGCTCGACCTTCCAACGGGATTTCATCAATCTCACTCCGACAAGCTTTGGTTTGGTAGCCAATCCGGCAATCTGTGAAGGCTGGAACAATGGAAAGGAGGGGGGACAGAAAGAGTGGTTCCCACGATGGTTAAGGGTCGAAGATATGGATACCCACGATGCCTGGCTCGTTTCAGCCTTAACACAACAGTGATGGTGACGAAGCTTACAAAAGAAGGGACGATAATAGACAACACAATCGGATGGAGCATGGCAGGAAACACCCCGATCGGAAAGAAATCATGCTCAGAATATGTCGGTTGCGTGCTTCTTGTCTCACCTTCATTCGTGCCGCCGCCCGCTGCCGATAGCTCCGGTCATCAGTGGTGCGAGTGGAGGGCGATGTTAAGGAGGAAGGCGGGGATTTCTTGCTGCTATGTTTCCCTGCCTTGGTCTTGTTGGTGCGCGCTTTCCTTGAATGTTTCAATCCTGCTTCTTCTGATCCTCCCGCCCCTCCTTCGACATCCTCCTCCTCTCCTCCCTCTTCCTCCTCTTGGTATTCTTCAGACGTGGTCTCCTCATTTGAACCCGGAGGGCACCAACGCAAAGCACGATTATCAAGGTACACACGTAACGAAACTTCCCCTATGGCTATGGAAGCTCCAATGCTTTCGCAGGGCAGGTGCTACTCGTGCTGCTGCTGCTATAAGGTGCGCCATTGCAAAGAAACTGCCACAACAAATACGAGCAAAAGTGAAGTACCAAAGAAGATTGAAAAACACCCAATCCCAAACACACACAGCATATCAGTACCCTAGCCTCACCTGCTTTGCGTCGCCTTGCTGATCCGCCCCGGCCGCCACGCGTCTTCCTCTCCACACCCACCCCCTCACCGCCACCCTGCGCCTCTGCCCTCCCGCTGCCCTGCGCACGAGCCGCCTGCGAGCGGGCGCTCCCCACAGGAGCCACGCTGCTGAAGTCGCCACGGAAGAACCTAGCGTTAGTATGGCTTCCGGCCCAAGCAGTGCAGTACTGCCTCTACCAGCTTGCGCTGTGGAAAACTAATTTGTAAAGCTTGACGTGACAAACAAACAAGATTAAAACCGCCTCTCACCTCTCAAAGAGCCTGGCAGTTTCCTCTGCAGTAATCCTAGACCCGAGATGTATGTTTTTTCCTCCGTGCTTTATCTGGGCCCCCCAACGAGTTCCTTTCCGTCTCCCTCCGGGATACTCTCGCTCAGTCGCCATTCCGGCAACCTTATCTGAATGCTGGACCAGCGGCAACGAGGAGAACGAACGGAATAGCGAGGAGTTTGGATCGAAGGTAAGGATCGCGTCAAGACTGCCTCGAGTCGCCCTTAAACACGACGGTGATGGTAGTGACGGAGAGGATGGATGGCAGCACCTGCAGGGAAAGGGATTGACCTAATGCGTCGGAAGGACTGACGAGCGTACCTATGAAACGAATACAAGGAAGCTTCCGGCCTCCACGAACGCATGGAGCATGGAATTCCATCGAGAGAACACTCTGCACTCTGCTAAATCTCATTGCCCGCTCGATTGCCACCTTGTCCCTGCGAGCTCCACTCTCGTCAAGGGAGCAAGGAGACCTTCGAGGCCTCAACCCAACCGTCCCTCGCCACGTGGATCTGGATCCGATCGCCATGGAAAGTTGAACGCCCCTAACGCGCGAGACGAGAACTTCACTACGGGTCCCTCCATGGCTAAGGCATGGCGTGGCGTCCAATGCATGGCTTTGAAGAACTCTCGTTGCAGCGTTCGCGTCAACTAGCATGAGTGTTTCTATCTACGAACCATATTATAAAGCGTACAAGAATGTTCTTGAGTATTGCTCATCATTACAAAGACCATCTCACAACTTTTGGGCTGAATTCTGATTCTTTTCAACAATATTGAGCCAATAATATCCTGGCACTGGGGAGGGAACTGTAGCTTTATACATGCAAAAAGTGAAAATTTGAGCAAAGGATGCATATTTACAAGCAACGAGCATGGGCTCGCACAGGCAGACCACCACGCGCCACGCCCACCCTCAAGAAAGGAACATCATACTGGTACCTTTCTTGATGTTCCTCCTCCACCCACCCACACCCATCACTCCTCCACCCCGAACCCACCACCAGCACCACTACCCCCCACCCCCCCACCTCCTTCCATCCTCTTCCCCACCTCCCTCGCCCGTGCCATCACTGCACTCGCCCTCGCACTCAGTGCAGCCCAGTCAGGCCCCTCGCCTGCACCCGCCTCTCCGCCCGCCTCTCCACCACCATACCCACTCTGGATCACGTCTCCTCCCTCCCCTCCACCCTTCGCAGCCTCCTCCCCCTCAACCTCCTCTCGCTCAGCCCTCTCTCCCTCAGCCTTCCTCCTCTCGTCCTCCTCAGCCTCTTTCCGGAACGCACCCCAGTCAAAGCCCTGCAGCCCAAACAGCTCCTCCCTGCGGCGCTTCAGATCACCCGGGGTAAGGTCCGTCCTCAGATGCTCCGGAAGCATCTCTCCAGGCTTGAGAGGAGCAAACGGATCCAAGCACCGCCCAATGCGAAACCCGGTGTTACGCGGAGTGTTACCCCATCGCTCGTTGTCCTTAACAGCATCGGCGTAGTTACGACCGTTGGCGAAAGCAGTGGGGTCGTTCCACTCCATATCTACCATCTCCTCCACTCGGTCACGGAACCTCTTCAACGCACTTTTGTTCTCTTCCCCCACCGTAATGCCTGCCTGCCCAATCTTACGCTTGTTACCACTCCCCTCCCCTGCTGCATCTCCCCCACCACCCCCCACTCCTTCAACAGCACCCACCGCCCCACCACTCCCTCCCACCACCAACCCCCCTTGCGCCCCACCACTGGAACCCCCTCCCCTGTCCTTCCTCTTCCGCCCCATCTCCTCATCCCATGCATCAACATGCGTTTGGCTCAGGCCCCAGTTCGCCAGGAGCTGCTCCGTGGAGATGGTCAGAGGCTTGATGAGCCCCAGTTCCGCCATTAGGCCTAGCTGGAACACAAGCCGCTCCAGAGCTTCCTGTTTGGCTTTCTCCCTGCGTGCTGCGGCGCGCTGCCGGTAGCCCGGGTCGTCGCAGCTGCGCATTGCAGGCGATGGGAAGGTGGAGAATCCGGATTTCTTGCCGCTGCGTTCCTCTGCCTTGGTTTTGGTGGTGTGAGCTGCGATTGGCTGGTCCACTCCTGCTTCCCCCGAACCTCCCTCCTCTCCACCCTCATCCCCCTCCTCTTCTCCTTCCTCCTCCTCTTCCTCCTCCTCTTCCTCCTGTCCCTCTTCGTAATCTTCTAGAGCAGATATCATCCACCCAGGCATGCACTCGAGGTCCACGGGACCCCAGGGCGTGGGGATTTGGGTGTCATCAGATTCACATGTTTCCACATCCGCGTGCCCACAACCCTCCCCCTCGCCCTCATCACTTCCCCTCTCCTCTGATTCCCCTCCCTCTCCTTCACTCTCCTCCTCCTCGTCTTCCTCTCCTCCCTCTTCCTCCTCCTCCTCGTCCTCCTCTTCGTACTCTTCTTCCTCATCCGTCTCCTCCTCTGTTTCATCCTCCTCCTCAGCTTCCTCTTCCTCCTCCTCAGACGTAGTCCCTTCACCTGAATCTGCTGCAAGCACAGCAACAGAATGCACGACCAGGAGGATACAAATAGCATGAGAATTGGCCCCCAGGGCTATGAAGAACGCGATGCTTACACAGTGATTCTCCTCGTACTGCTGTTACTGTAAGAAGCAAGCACTGCAAAAAAACAGCTTCAAGACTCACGAGCATTCAAAGAAACGTTACTAAGGGCATACAAGGACACAAATTCACCTAAGACAAAGCACAAATCTCCAAAGCCCTCTCACAAAGATGGCCCCATTCCAACCACCCACCCCAGCCTTACCTGCTTTGCGACGTCTGGCTGATCCGCCCCGGCCGCCACGTGACTTCCGCTCCAAACCAGCCCCCTCGCCGCCACCCTGCGCCTCTGCCCTCCCGCTGCCCAGCGCACGAGCCACCTGCGGGCGGGCGCTTCCCACAGGAGCCACGCTGCTGAAATCGCCACTGAAGAACCTAGCATTGGTCATCGCATCCGGGCCATCTCTCTCAATAACAGCCACATCATACGCCCGGGCTGCCTCTTCCTCCGTCCGGAAAACGCCAAGATTGGTCGTTTTCCCCTCTTTATTGACACACGCTTTCCATTTCTGTTTTGACTTGTCCCAGCTCACACCCATAAACCGCGACGACCCGCGGCCCATCTTGAGCAGGAGGTTTTCTTTGGCAAGGGAGGCCCGGAACTGAAGCTCCGACTTGGCGTCGAGTTCAGCCTTCTGCTCAACCGTGAGGCCGAAGTTCAATGGAGCTTCGGGTCCCCTGAACTTGTATGCCGCCCTGCAGGCAACGAGAAAATCAAGATTCGCACAGATATGGGAGTTGGTCGGTGTGACCCCATGGCGGTGCGGAGATGCGATAAAGAGCTGCCAGAACCAGTATTGCCTCGCCCGGCTTACGCATTCCGATAACTTCTAATGTGGAAACAAAAAATCACCTGTCATACAGCCTGGCAGCATCTTCTGCAGTACTCCTGTTACCGAGAACAATGCATTGGCCTCCATGATTTATTCGGGCCTGCCATTGGGATCCGCTCCGTTTCAAACCGAACAAATTTGGCTCAGTCGACATCCCACCAGCCTTAAGAGTGCTGGAACAGCGGCAACGAAGGGGACAGAAGGAACGGGTTCGGGTCGAATAAGAGGATCACAATAATGACAATCGCAGCCTCGCTTCATATCTAACACGACGATGGTGACGGTGACGGACAGCAGCAGCAGGTGCAGGGAAAGTAGACAATGACACAATCGACCTAACGCGGCAAAAGATCAACGTGCGTGCTGACGAGAGCAAGGAAGGCAAGGTAACAGCCAACTTCAACGAATGCAGCACGAGCAGGAAAAAGTAACGGATCAAGCGAATCCCTACGCGCAGATACCTTTGGTCCACAACCCGGGTATACCGAGCGACAGAGTTCAGCAATCCGTTCGAGCTCACCTCTAAAGCTTTGAGCGATCACCTTCAGTTGCCGCAATCGTTTTGAATTGCCGCGATCTCCCTCCGCAAGCCCGACACCCTGCTAAGCCTCAGAACGCGCTTGACAGAATCCTTCCGCGAGAGCGAATTCTTCTATCAGTACAGTACCAGTCGTGGAGCGATCTAGTACCCACCTGTGGTGCTCCAGTCACGCAAACCCTAGGTCAACCTCCACGGCTTCAACTGTTGAGCTCGGCAGCTCGAGGCGAATATCTCTTAGGGACAGCGAGTGGGAACGGTGAAACACGCGAAGTAGGATGGCGGAGAAGACGACGGGTAATGACGTGAGCGCAGAGAGAGAGAGAAACAGCTTGGCGAAGCCACAGTGCGAGGTTGGTCCGTTTGGATAATGACCATGACGTGGCTGATGTACGGCAGTAAGACGTTGAATCTCATCGGGCCGTCGGGACTGGATACAACAGAGGATCTCCCCTCGGCCCTCTCTAATCCGTGGCAACTCCGCATGGTTGGGCCGTGCTGACTCTATTTTTCCGTGAATCAAGCGAGCGGACGTGGCACGGAGAGGTGATCGTGCGACCATGCGGGACGAGGCTTGGCATTCTCGTTGCAAACTGCATTGTAGGATGGATGACACGGTGGAGTACGGTTGTAGGATGTGCGACGTCAACACCACATTTGAAAGCTCAATGTACTGTATTGTACATCGGAACATCAATAAGGGGGTGTCACGAACAGTGAGTTTACAGCTCATGAGGGGGTGTCAGGTTCATACCGTTTTAGAATGACACAACATCGCAGTCAACCTCTTAAAATGAACTGATACGCCCTACCGTATAGTTGACTTGCTGGGAATCCCAACCTGGATGAGTTGAGTACGCAGAACAGAACCCCACCGACTTATCAGTTCCAGCAACCCCGTGGTTCTCAGAATGCGTACTCTTCCAAGTTCCCGTATTCAAGGATAGTGGAAAGCCTTGGCAATGCGGCCATGATCATTCCGCAAGGTAAGAACGAGGAACACTCTGTCTACTCAGGACTGATGGCGAGGATCTCATAAAAACAGCGTTGATTCCGTTAAATCTCCAGTTCGCGTTTCTGCATGCATCTCTGCACATTCGCTAAGTCTGGCGACATGCTTCCGCGTCAGCCCGTCTCGGTCTAGTCGCGCGCTTCCTCGACATTAGCGCGGAAAAAGAAAGACAGTGCAAGATCAATCGTCAGCCAAAAAGAGTCGTTTGAAATGACCAGAGCGGAACAATTCGATGATGATATCGAGCTGACGGGACCAAGCGTAGAGCCGCCGGTCGTGGCTGGGGGAGCGGCTGATGGGGGGATGGCGGAAGGGGAAAGGCGGAGGGCGGAGATGGGAGGGGAAATGCGAGTGGCGAGGGGGATCCGACTGGCGGAAGGAGCTTCCGCGACGGCTGTAATGAGGGAAGGCGGAAACACTGGGAGAGGAGAAGGGACGGACTCGGAGAGCGGAACTCGCCGAGGAACACACAAGGGTGTTACGGAGGAATGGGGGGAGTACACGGCGAGAGACGGAGAGGAGAAGGCGGAAGTTGGCAGAGAGGAGATGGATCATAGCGATCATACTCACATGCTGCTGTTATCAGAATCACATGATCGGAGCACGGACCCTTTACACACGCTTTCCACCTCTCCCGCCGCGTCCCCTCCAATCCCATCCCACCATGGCGCATCGCCCGTCTCCCTTCGCCCGTCATCACCTCCCCGCACCGCTCCGAACCCCGCGTCGCTCACCGTCCTCTCCGTCCTCTTCGCGCCGCTCCACCCGCTCGTCGCGCTGCACGCGTGGCTGCGCGGGCTGGTGGCGTCGTTCGGGCTGCCGTTCGTGGCGCTAGTGGGCGTGGTGTACGGCGTGAGCGAGGGGTACGCGGGCGCGCTCTACCACTTCGCATCGCAGTACTATTGGATGGACGTGCAGCGCCTGCAGCCCGCCTCCGCGCAGGCCTACATGGTGTGGGTGTTGCGGTGACAATGCCGGTGCTGTGACCATGCGGTGATTGTGACCATGTGGTGATTGTGACCATGTGGTGATTGTGACCATGTGATGATTGTAACCATGTGATGATTGTAACCATGTGATGATTGTAACCATGTGATGATTGTAACCATGTGATGATTGTAACCATGTGATGATTGTAACCATGTGATGATTGTAACCATGTGATGATTGTAACCATGTGATGATTGTAACCATGTGATGATTGTAACCATGTGTTTGTGCTTCCCCCAAAAACTTCTCCCCCTTCCCCACCCCCCCCCCCTCCCTCCCCCGTCGATTCTGCCCCGAACCCCCCTTCCCCGTCAATTCTCCCTCTTCCCCCCTCCGTTCCCTCCCGCCCGTTGCTCCCGCATGCCATTAGGCAGTGGTGGCGGTGCCTTGGGATCTCCGCCCCATCTACGGACTCATCTCTGACTCCTTCCCCATCCGAGGGTGAGTGGGGCATGGGGCGTGGGGCATGGGGCATGGGGCATGGGGCATGGGGCATGGGGCATGGGGCATGGGGCATGGGGAGCGAGGTGTGAGTGTAATAATCTCTCCCACTGTCCCTTACCCATCTACCAGCTAGCTCCCCTATCTTCCCCTTTCCCTCTCCCCCCTCTCACTCCCCTTCGCTTTCCCCCAGCTACCCGCCAGCACCCCTACTCACAGAAATTAATCCCTCCTCTCGACCCCCTCTCCCTCTCTGCCCCACTTCTGCCTCTCCCTCCCCCCTCTCTCTCCTCTCCCCTTCTCCTCACTCCCAGCTACCGCCAGCGTCCCTACCTCTTCCTCTCGGCCCTCCTCGGCCTCCTCTGCAGCCTCCTCGTGGCTCTCCTCCCCTCGCTCCCCCCCACCCTCGCCTCCCTCCTCCTAGCAGGCACCACCCTCTCCACCGCCTTTGCAGACGTCCTAGTAGATGGCCTAGTAGCAGCAAAGATTCGCACCAAGCCGCAACACGCGGGAGACCTACAAGCCCTCCCCTGGGGAATCCTCGCGCTCTCCTCTCTCCTCGCGTTCGCCCTCAGCGGCCCTATCGTCTCCGCGTTCGGGGCCCGTGGGGCGTTTTTTTTCTACGCGCTGGCACCGTTTGCGCTGCTTGTGACGGTGCTTCTGGTGCCGGAAGCGCCGGTGGCGGCGCGTAAGATGGGGGAGTCTGGGTGTTGGAGGTTGAAGCGGTCTGTGCGGCTGTTTGTGCGGACTCTGCGCAACAGAGTCATGTGGCGGGCCGCCATATTCCTCTTCATGTCGCATGTGAGTGAGACATTGGCGCGTGTGGGGGAGGTACGGCTGAGAGGGGTACGGCTGAGAGGGGTACGGCTGAGAGGGGTACGGCTGATGGAGGTACGGCTGAGGGAGGGGTGTGTCAGCGTCTGCAAGTGAGAGGGCGTCAGATGGTGCAAGAGGGATGGGCTAGGTCAGACTCACCCTCCTACATTGTTCTCTTACTACATTCACTGCTTCCCGTTGCTGCAGCCTTATCCCTGCACACACCCTCTTCTCCGCTGCCTCCCCATCCATACCCCCCCACACAACTCAGTTTCTGGAATCTTGACATGTCTCAGAACTAAACTACCAGTAGTACATGTCCTAGAAGACCAGAAACACTGAGGCATAATTATTTCCTCCCCGCCCCCCTTTCCCCCTCCCCCGCCATGCAGGGAGGCATCTCCTTCCCACAGCGCTCAGCTACTGGTACACCAAGGTGGAGCGGAAGAAGGGCAATCTTTACATGCCTCATAATTCGACTCTCCACCTTGCCCTCTTCCCCTCCACCGTCCTTCCCCCCGCTGTTATCCAGGGGGGGATATCCCCGGACATCCCAACAGCGCTGATCTACTGGTACACCAAGGCGGAGGGGGGTCCGCGGTTCAGCAAGGACTTCATGGGCGTGGTGTTCGCCATGGGGCGCGTGGGACTGCTCATTGGCGTCTTCATCTACCACCGCTGCTTCAAAGCCGCCTCCTACCGCACACTCCTCTTCTTCACTCTCGTACAGCCCCATCCCAACGCTGCTGCATCTCCCAACTCTTCTCTCTCTCCCCTTCTTGCTATGCTGCAAAGCTGCTTTCTTCACCTTAATGCTTACCCACCCACTCACCCAGCCACCCAACCAACCATGCGCTGTTGGAAGGGCACATTGCACCAACCAACCAACCACATTGCAGTTATCACGTTGACTTCACCTTTTCTTCCACGGCCATCTCTGCCCTCCTCCTTTCCTCTCCTCGACCTCTTTCTGTATCCCTCCACATGCTGAATGCACTCATCTTTCTTTTCTCATTCTCTCATCCTCTTCCCTGTCCCTTGCCACCATCTCCCCTCCCCTCCCCACCCCCCCAGCTGCTCCTCTTTGTCACCGGCTTCCTAGACCTCGTTATAATCACGCGGGTCAACATCACACTCGGCATCCCCGACCATTTCTTTGTCCTGGGCGACACAGCGATCTCAGACGCAGTACGAAGGCTAGAGCTCATGCCCATTCTCGTGCTCGCCGCTCGCCTCTGCCCCCCTGGCATCGAGGCGACTCTCTTTGCCTTCTGCATGTCTCTCATGGTGTTTGGGGAGCATTGCGCGGCGTGGCAAGGAGCTCTCATGCTGCATCTGCTGGGCGTGAGAAAGGATAGCTACGAGCGGCTCTGGCTGGCCGTGGTGCTTCGGAATCTGTTTCGCCTGCTGCCCATGGCGTTCCTTTGGCTGTTGCCGGAAGGAGGGCCGGATACGGATTTGTTGGGTGATATGGGGGTTGATATGACAGGGTTGGAAGAGGAGAGTGAGCGAGAGCTTATGGTTGTGCATAAGATGGACGAAGATAAAGAGGGCGAGAGTGGCGATGGAGGTATGCGTAAGGCGGGGTTGGAGGAAGATGGTGATCTGGATGATCGAGCTACAGGACTGGAGGTACTAAGCCTTAAGGAGACAGAACTGGTTATTTGACTGAGCGCTTACACCATTAAACTATGGGGAGCAAGGTCAGTGTATTGTAATTGCATTAGGTGTTGTGAGTTATGTCTGGGTGCTGTGTAATTAACACATAGAATGATATGTTGATGCCTGTGTGTACAGCAGTTTCTACTGAAATGTAAACCATACAATACAGCAGACAAGGAACGAGAGCCACGGTACGTGCAGCATCCTGCCCGTCGATTCCTCAAAGCGAGCTGGGACGTGTGGAGCCGATGATGCCATGTCAGCGTAACCAGCAATTCAAAAACTCTCCGCATCTCGCGCTTGCTTTGTCGGTGTGTGGGTGAGAGCTGCGCGGTCAAGGGTGGTGGGCCTGGCACGTGCACCACAGCCGAGTCGCAAGTTTGGATGTGGGGGAACACTTCGCGCAATGCTGGCATTTCGATTTCCGCCCATTTGAATTGCGACGCGGCATCGCCCCTCTCTTCGCCCCCCAGCGGGAGCCCCATTTTCTTTTTCGTCACCTCTGCTTTTCCCCAATTTTCTTCCATTCCACCTACTCTCCCGTTTCTGTTCAATTCCTATGCATCAGAAACTGCGCTTCACGGCATTTGAGAGAACTTGGAACAGTGTGGCAGTCTACAGCCCCGTACCATCCTGCCATGATGGTCAAGCGTTCGCACAAACACACGACGCCTCTTTATTCCGTGCTAGCCGAAGAGTAACACACGCAACACGTCAAGAGTAATGCTCCCGTTTATGGTAAAAACTACTTGGACAGCAGGGCGGTGAGCTTTGAAGCAGACTGTCCCGACCAGAAGTAGGAAACCCGCCGCATCAGGCGTTGAGTTATTCTTGCTGCCGTCCCTTGCGCACGTTAGAGTATACCACCGCCAGCAAATGCAGCATGAGACCAGCACCGCCCTTGTATGAGATTTCTCAACGGTGAATCCATTATAGACCACCAGGTGTATACAACGAGCTGCAGAGCTGCGGAGGTGCGGCAGCAGTTTACGACGAATCGCAACGCCCGTTCTCTCGCTACCGCTCGACGCTCTGCTCGATCCGTTGTGATCATATTAGGAACCGGTGCCTCTCGGTAGTGCTAAAACTGCTGCCGAGTCAACCCTCAGTGTGTCCCTCTCTAGACACTTCCAATGGACGACCGTCGAGAAAGGACTCGCGCCGCGCTCCTTTCAAGGCGGATTTTTGGGGCGCTGCTCCTCGCTGCAGCTGTGGCGGGCGCGCTCCCCCCCGCGGAAGCGGTTCCGCCAGGCATGCCGCGGAAGCCCGCGCACATCGTGCGGGTGCTGCTGCGACAGAACCGGTTTGGCGCGCGTTGCCTGGACGGAAGGTAGGTGTAATGCAGCACGACAATCGCTTGTCAGTTTAGAGAAACTAGACTTTTTGAAAACCACTCATGATGGCAGCTCGATCGCTGCTCGTCATCCCGTCTTGCGCCCAAAACTGTCATTCTAAACCCACACTCCCTCTTCTCTCCCTCGCTCTCGCGCTCTCTCTCTCTCCGCGTCTCATGCTCTCCCCCTCTCCGCGCATCAGCCCGCCGGGGTTCTACATTCGGCGTGGCTACGGCACGGGGCGGAAGAGCTTTATAATATACCTGCAGGGCGGCGGGTGGTGCCATAACGTGGCGCAGTGCGCGGAGCGCACGCAGACCGTGCTCGGATCGTCCAAGTTCTGGCGCCACCCCACCGACCCGGCATTCCAAGCCTCGGTGAGACTCGATGATGATTCCAGGGCCCGGTAAGACCGAGGATTCCACGCCTCGGTGAGACTCGATGATGATTCCAGGGCCCGGTAAGACCGAGGATTCCAAGCCTCGGTGAGACTCGATGATGATTCCAGCGCCCTTTAGACCGAGGATTCCACGCCTCGGTGAGACTCGATGATTCCAGGGCCCGGTAAGACCGAGGATTCCACGCCTCGGTGAGACTCGATGATGATTCCAGGGCCCGGTAAGACCGAGGATTCCACGCCTCGGTGAGACTCGATGATGATTCCAGGGCCCGGTAAGACCGAGGATTCCAAGCCTCGGTGAGACTCGATTATGATTCCAGGGCCCGGTAAGACCGAGGATTCCACGCCTCAGTGAGACTCGATGATGATTCCAGGGCCCGGTAAGACCGAGGATTCCACGCCTCGGTGAGACTCGATGATGATTCCAGGGCCCGGTAAGACCGAGGATTCCACGCCTCGGTGAGACCCGTTTAAGAATTCAGCTAGCTCGTTTCGTGTTTTCGTAGTCCCTCTCACTGTCTCTCTCCTGGTACACCACTTTCCAGTGTCTTCTCTCGTCCTTTCCCCCGCCATTCCCGTCTCTATGCCCCTACTCAATCCGCGACTCAGCTGCAAAAGTATTGAAGCACGTTCACGGGCATTCTGAGGTGACTTCTGAGATGTCCCAAAACTCCCCTACCCCACCTCGATCCGCGATTCAGCTGCAGAAGTATGGAAGCACGTTCACGGGCATTCTGAGCCGCAACGCGACGGAGAATCCGTCGTATTACAACTGGCACGTGGTCAACGTTTTCTATTGCGACGGAGGGGGCTTCTCGGGCACTGCCGGTCCTGTACGCGTTAACAGCACCTTCTCAATGCACCTCGACGGAGCCAAGATCCTCCAGGCTGTCCTCGAAGGTGGGTGCATGGGTGCATGGGTGGATTGGTGGATTGGTGGATGGGTGGATGGGTGGATGGGTGGATGGGTGCATGGGTGCATGGGTGCATGGGTGCATGGGTGGATGGGTGGATGGGTGGATGGGTGCATGGGTGCATGGGTGGATGGGTGGATGGGTGGATGGGTGGATGGGTGGATGGGTGGATGGGTGGATGGGTAGGTTGCGAGTGGCGCGAGCTGGGTTGACTGGAGAAGTGTCCTGTGGGAAGGGCGATGTGATCCCAAGGAGGCCAAGTTACTGACCCAGGGCGAAGTTTTATGATGAGTGCGAATATGAAGAAATTTCAAGGTTATGGTGACCTTTCAAGCTCCCTGCACTAGCTGCCTCCGCCAGCTGCCTGTGCATCCCCCCTCTCCCTACCCCGACCCCTCTCCCCCTCTCTCCCCTCTCTCCCTCTGCCTCCCCTCTTTCCTCCGTAACTTCCCCCAACCGTTACTCCCGCCCCCTTCCCTTTCCCTCCCCCCCCCCCCCTCCTCTTCCCCCCCTGTCAAGACCTGCGGTAGGGAATGCACAGGGCGAAGAGGGTGCTGTTCACGCCTCCTGCGCCAGCCGCCTCGCGCTATCTGCCCGCATTCCTTCCCACCTTTCCTCTCTTTTCTCCTACTCCCCCTCCCACTCCTCCCTTGTCCAGACCTGCAGGTGCGGTGGGGAATGCGCTCGGCGAAGAGGGTGCTGTTCACGGGGTGCTCGGCGGGTGGTCAGGCAGTGTCCAACACGTGCGACATTGTGGCGGACCAGCTGCCCTGGGCCAACGTCAAGTGCCTCATGGACGGAGGCTTCTTCCTGGGTAAGGCATATATGCAGGCCAGGCATATGAGGCTAGACAGTGCGCCGTATGGGAGGTTTGACTCTGGTAGCCTGGTAGTGCCCTATGCTCTGGCTTGCACTGCGCCGTGCGCTTGTCTTGCAGGGTTTTTGTGGTCTTGGGGGATTGGGATTTGGGGCGTTGGCAAGAGTGCTGCCTTCTCTGTTTCTGTGTCGTCAGGAAAACCTGGCATCATTGACCGGCTCGTCCTGTTCCCTATGCTTACGCGCATTAATGCCGTGCTTACGCGCTTAGCATCATTCCTTGTCTTGGTTGTCTGTCAGATGGCTCGGATGTTACAGGGCAAATGTACTTCCGTACGCTAGCCAAGAGGATGACCGAACTGCATCACTCTATAATGGATCCCGACTGCAAAAACGGTAAGAGAGGAGAATTGGACGATGGGCGGAACCAGGATTTAGTACATTTTGATTCATTAACACCATAGACAGTACCGACTCAACAAATGACACAATTCTAAGGCGCTGGCTCCTTATTCCTTAACCTCGTTTCATCTTTTCTCTCTCGCTCTCTTCCCATTTCTCCCTGTCTCGTGTACCCTTCACCTCAGCCAATCCACGGGGCCCCTGGCGCTGCTTCTTCCCACAATTCAATCTCTTCTACATCTCCAGACCACTTTTTATCGTTAACTCAGTGGCCGACTATGCAGCAATTGAAATCGCCAACCGTGGGCAGAACCAGTCTTCCACTACAAACATCTTCAGCTGCCTCGACAAAGTGTTCGACTCGGAGCCTACAACAGCTAGGGACCTCACAAGAGCAAAGTCAAGGTGTACACCACAAGAATTGGCCTCAATTCAAATCTACTCCAAGCGGGTGCTTACGCGCATTAATGCCGTGCTCCGTGAGAGGAAACAATTTGGTTCCTTCATAATGGGGTCGTTAGCACATTGCACCACAATCTACCCGGCCTGGTCTATGATAAGGCGGAGAAAGGAGTACCTAAGAGATGCTATTGATCGATGGTATATGCAATGATTGGCGTGGCATTGGTATGGCTTTGTACTTGTAATTAGTGTATGTGGTGAGTAGGTTGTGTTGGATTGACATAGTTGCACAACTACATGAATTATTCAAATACACCAGTGCATTGTCATCTATTTACCAAACAGGTGCAGGTTATTTACAATTGAGAGATGTACCGTACTCGAAACAGTAGCATCCCGCAAAAACCAGCAAGTCAAGCTTCACAACTCACTGTCCCCTTCAGCTAGACACGTGAATCGACCTATGTATAGGCTGAGTCAGCAAGAACGATTTGGCAGCGGTCGCCATGTGTGAGGTTACACGTCAAAGGCAGAGAAACCCACGTAGCCCGGCTTGGCCAGTTGTGAAACCGTTCAACCCTGCCCAGAACGAAGGGCAGCTTCGCTACTACCAAAGCATAAATAATAAGCCTCTGGAATATAGTTTTGAGCACGCAAACATTTTGACCGAGTGTATACACGCGACGCGGATGATGCATCGCATGCGCGGCATGCCACAGCTTCAAGAAATGGTACGAGGACTGAGAAATGGGGGGCTCATTTTGCTCTCCATGTTCTCCCTCTTCCCTCTCGCTGGCTCTGCTCCTCTGCTCGTGTATTTAGTGGTTTTCTTGCACATCAAGAATCGTAATTCGTTCTCTAGCTTTCCACCAACGCATTCTCCTGCACGCCGCTCCATGACGCCGCTATAACGCTTCCATCTCTCGCAGCAAACGATATCCTCTAACATACTCCATCGTAAAAGTTCCTCCGTTTCTCTAGCTATCCTGACGTGAAGAAACTACAGTTTTCAGAAACAAACGCAAGGCTGAAAGACAAACTGAACCTAGTTCGACAAACTGAAGTACTATATATGGCGCGAACCATTCTATTCGCCGTGGACTCGTCGGAGGACAGCTACAACGCCGTGCGATGGGCGACGGAGCACCTCCTCCGGCCAGGCGACCGCATCGTCATCCTGCACGCGCAGTCGCAGCCCGACCTCGTGCAGGGCATGGTCGCTAAAGACGGTGAGTGGTTATGATGGATGCCAAATGAAGGTAAGCGATTAATGGATCCCGCAGCACTCGTTGTATAATCTTGCTCTCACAGGTGTACCGTCCTTTCCGTGAGTCCCGTGGTTCAACATTCCGCGTTTCCCGGTTGTCTCCTTCGCAGTCCCGCTGGACCCGGAAACGGTGGAGTCCATCCGCACGCACATCAGCAACCTCAGCCGCAGAACGCTGCAGAAATGCCAGGAGATTTGCGAGGCCCATAAGGTGCGCACCGCTCCTCTTGATGCGCCTAAAAAACTCCAGTAGCTATGAGAATTCCAGAAGGTGCGCGTCCCTATCGTGAGTCATGTACACGTGCTACTATCCGAGTCTATCCTCAGCTAGTCATGCGAATGTGAAGAGAAAAGCGCACTCCACTCCCCGTGTATAATCATTTCCTGACTCTCCCGCCCGTGCGCCGCTTCTCCCTCCGCCCGCGCCAGTTCTCCGCGGAAACAAGGGCGGAGATAGGAGATGCACGCATGGTGATATGCGAGCAGGCGGGGGAGCTGAACGCGGACCTGCTGGTGGTGGGCTCGCGGGGGCTGGGCCTTCTCACGCGGTGAGTGGAAAGGAATGAAAGTTAGAGAATGAATACTCCTTGCTGTTCCTTCCGAGTGGACTCGAGCGGAGTAGCGGAGAGGGAGGCACATCGAGGGGTGGAAATCGGTTGACTTTGAATCGGTCTTGTCCTTGAACCAGTCTACTGGTTTATTTCGATCGAACTGAGGGAATGACCGGCATGGCATCTCATATCCCATACCACCTCGTTTCTCAAAATGCCTTCTCTTCCTGTCCTCTCCCACTCGCCTGCGCTTCCCCTCTCCTCTCCCGCGACAGCCAACTCCTGGGCAGCGTGTCCAGCTACTGCGTGCACAACGCGCCAGTACCCGTGCTAGTGGTGCGACCCGAGGGGGAGGGCACCAAGTGAGCATCCATCAATCCCTACATGCATTCCACCTTTCTCCGGGCAATGCCAGTCAGGGATCACGGGTTTGAAGGGGCTTCACAGGGGGGGCTTGGCTTGGTTTGGCTTAGGAGCACGTGTTGCAGTGGGTTGAATGGCCTCAGTATCTCGTTTGGTTTGCTGATTTGCTACTTGGTGAATAAAGATGTGATGGGTGGTTTTGCATATACCGTACCACCTTGTGCGGGGTGCTGGTCCTAGGTATAGGTTGTGCTGCTGCGGTTTTGATGTGTGCTGGGTAGTTGCTAGCTGAAGCTGAGATGTTCTGGACATGCCTGGTTTCTGTTGGGCTGAGAAAGCCCTTAAGGATCTTTGCAGAGGATAACTCTGGGTAGGATATTTGTAATAGCGGAAGCGTTTAATGAAGTTTGTGAACCGACCTTGCACTAGTGTGTGAGAGCAAAGTGGATTGAATTAAACAAGCAAATACAAGGTTTTATATAAGAGTACAGGGAATACGAATGGATAGATAACTGTATTTGCTGTTGCGATCCGATACAGTGCGACTCGGGCAACTGCTCTGTAACGAGTCAGTTGTGTGTCCTTAACTGTCGCGCTGTAATTGTCGAGTCAAAGGTCGCTGACCTTTGACTTTCCCGTAACCTCCAGGCGGTTACCCTAACCTCCGAGGTTTGACTCGATGCTTCGATTCGGACTGCTTCGCTAGTGTCTTGGGTTTTGACACGACAGAAGCGCACTAAGACTTATTGTTTCCAACACTCCCCTTCGCTTCTGGAGTGTCGCCGCAGGTGACGTGGCTTTGTCCAGTCAGCAGCATGCAGTATTCGAACTTCTGCTTTCCGAGCTTCTTGGTCAAGTAATCGGCTGCCATCTCAGACGTGGGACAGTATGACAGATCGAGTTTCCCCTTTTCAATCTCGTCCTTCACGAAGAAATAGCGCAGGGCGATGTGTTTCGTCCTGTTTGCGAAGCCGTTCTTGTTGGCGATGCGAATTGCTGACTGGTTGTCGCAGAACACGGTGAAGCTGGGTAACTCGGCTAACTTCGCTTCTTCCAGCAGTTCGCGAAGGTAAAGTCCCTCCTTGGTGGTTGAGCAGAGTGCAATATATTCCGCTTCAGCTGAAGACAGTGCGATTAACTCCTGCTTACTCGACTGCCAGGAGATAGGACCGATAGGCTCGAGGCGGTAGACATAGCCAGTGCGTGAGCGCCTGTTATCGGAGTCGCCGGCGTGATCGGCGTCGACGTAGCCGATTAGCTTGGTCGGTGTAGTTGCGTTTTTGTGATAAGTTAATCCGATCGTCGCGGTGCTGACGAAATAGTGGAGAGCGCGATCGAGTTCCGCCAGATGCTCTGCTTCAGGCTTCTTGAGATAGGTGGCGAGCTGGCTCGCGGAGTAGGATAAGTCGGGACGGCATGTGACTGCTGCGAAGAGAAGACATCCGAGCTTCTTCTGATAGTCGCGTATGCCGACGGGCTTGAGTAGGGTAGATCGTCCCTTTTCGGTTCCTGACGTGTAGCGGTAAGGCGTGGAGATGGCGCTTGGTGTGAGGCTGAAGCGTTTCGCGATGGTGTCGGCGTACTTCTCGGCGCTTAGATAGATTGCGTTTTCTTCCTCGCGGATGTTGAGCCCGAGGTACTGCGTAACGGTAGAGGAGACCGTGAGCGTGAGGTCTTTCTGAAGCTCCCCTTCGAACCACGTGGCGATGCCGTCGGTTGACCCAATGTAGAGGAGATCGTCCACGTAGACGATTACGAGAACGTAGTTACTTCCCTTTGTGAGGCGATACATGCCCTGGTCATGCGGGAGTTGTTTGAAACCGATGCGGATGAGGCGGGCGTGTAGGTACTGCTGCCATAGTCGCGGTGCCTGCTTGATCCCGTAGAGCGACTTAAGCAGTTGACAGACTCGGTTGGGTTCGCCTTGGGAGCCGTGCGGGAGTTCGACGAAGATTTCTGCATCCACAGGTGCGTAGAGAAATGCGTTTGCGACATCGATTTGTCGCAGTTTCTTTTTCTTCATGGCGGCGACGGCGATGAGGATTCGGAGTGAGGTGTGACGGCTGACCGGAGCGAAGGTTTCGGTGTAATCTCTTCCGTGCTCCTGGTCAAAGCCGCGTACGACCCAGCGAGCTTTGAATTTGTCGATGGTGCCGTCAGCTTTCGTCTTCACACGGAAGACCCACTTCCCGGTAAGGATAGTTTTGTTTTGTGCTACGCCGATGGGAACGATTTTCCAGGTGTTGCGCTCCTCCAGTGCCTTCAGCTCTTTGTCCATGGCTTCACGCCATTTCTCCCTATGTTCCCCCTCCAGAGCCTGTTGAACCGCCGCAGGCTCCTTAGGAATGGCGGCGCCATGGACTGCGGTGACGAGACCAAGGATTTGCAGTCCAGTCTGTGAGTATCGAGGGAGTTCTGGATCCTCGGGATAAGCTGCTTCGTCTCCCACTTCTGGGTCGGGTATGAAATTTGGCCCTACCCTTTCTGCTTCGTTGGTGTTGACTGTCGAAGGTGTTACGTAACCATTGTCGGCGAAATGGTAGAAGACTTCGGCGTTGTTACTGTCGCGAGGATTTTCCTCATCCATGGGCACGTTGACGGAGCAGTACGGAAGAGGTCCGGCTTCCTCCGATGCGTTGTCGACGTTCTGCTCATCCCAGTCTGCTTCATCCGCTGCTGACGCGAAGGCTCGGTCACCACGAAAGCCACTGGTGAGGTCCCGATTCTCGTGCAAGTTGGCGAGGTACGTCTGAAGGGTGAGTCGTTCGTAGAAGATCACATCTCGTGCTGCTACTGTTTCTTTTGTGTGGACGTCGAAGATTCTCCACGCGTTGTAATTTTTCTCGATGCCGAGGTGTAGTCCCCACTGTGCCCGTTGTGAAAATCTTCCCGCTCGTGCTTCTGGGGGTCTGTACTGTACCATGCACCCGAAGACTCGTAACATTTTTGTGCTGCCCTGCTTCCCTGTCCACAGCAGATGCGGTGATGCGTTGTTCGGGAGTGACGACGACGACAACAAGTTGTGCAGCATGACAGCATGGTCCATTGCTGCTGGCCACTGGTGGTTGGGTAGCCGCATGCCACGTAACAGTTTGCGCATGCTGTTCTGCAGAGTCCTGTTCATTCTTTCTGCAACACCTTGCTGCTGATGTGCGTAGGGAAGGGAGAGGAGTTGCTTGATCCCCCTTTCCGCCAGGAACTGCTTGAAGCGCTGAGAGGTGTACTCGCCACCTCCGTCTGACTGGAAGCTTTTCAGCTGCGTTCCAGACTCTCTCTCTGCTGTCGGTAGCCAGGCGGCGAATGCTGCGAGCGCCATGTCGCGGCTGGGTAGGTTACGATGCCAGACGTATCGAGTGGCGGCGTCGATGAAGGTGATGGTGTAGTTGTAGTTGACTTGTCCTGGTTCGCGATTGTAGAGGATGTCGCTGTAAACCTTTTCAAGTGGTGCGTACGCTGGTGCGCTTGGGTTGTGATGTGGAGCGAATGGTCGATGAGGTAAGTCAGCTTCGGGGCATATAAGGCAAGTCCCTCGTGCCTTTTGGAGTTCTCTGCCGTCGGGTAGAAGTAGGGAGTCTTTGTCAAGAACTCCTGGTCTTATCGTGTTGTTTAAAACCGTGTTGCTTGGATGTCCTGTGCGTGCGTGCCAGATTTCTTCAGAGGCGCGGTGTCCGGGTGAACGTTGGTATGCGTCGGAGTTGGAGTAAAAACTGGCGACGAAGTTGGCGCTTCGGTGGACTTCACGTTGAGTCGGATTCAGCTGTTGCGCGGGTGTTGGTGGTGCTTCGTAGACTGTGACTGGTGTCGTTGTTCCTGCTGCTGCTAATGTTGTCTCTGCTGCTGCCGATGTTGTTGCTGCTGCCGATGTTGTTGCTGCTGCCGATGTTGTTGCTGCTGCCGATGTTGTTGCTGCTGCCGATGTTGTTGCTGCTGTCGATGTTGTTGCTGCTGCCGATGTTGTCTCTGCTGCCGATGTTGTCTCTGCTTCTGGTGTTTGTTGAATCGTTGCTAACGCTCGTGTTCGTTCTGCTTCAGGGATAGTGTGGGAGTACCAGAAACCTCCCGGGCTGAAGTCGGGGTCGAGATCCGGAGGGTGTGTCCAGTCAGTAAAATTCACGATGGCGTCGCTGTCTGCAGTGCCCAGGTCAGGAACGAAGTCGAGGACGAAGACGTTGTTCTTCAGCACTGCCTTCCCGATGTAGAGGCCGCCTCTCCCGTGGTATAGCTTGAACTCCTGGGTGGTGCTGTCGGCTTCCAGGTGAATCCCTTTCGCCATCAGCTGGCTAACACTCAGTAAGTTGTAGCCGAGTCCTTCAGCGATGAGTACCTTTGACATGTGCAGTATGACATTTGTTTCTCTTGACTGAAGCTGTACCACTCCTTGTCGTCGTGTGCGCAGGTTTTGATTGTTGGCGACCGTGATGACAACTTCTCGTTGGAGTCGGTGTTCGCGTTGTACGAAGCGTCCGGACGAGCACATGTGTTGCCCGCAGCAACTATCCAAGAACCAAGTGTCTTGGCCGGACGGTTCACTTTGAGCGATGGCGGCGTAAGTCGGATTCGGGTGGAGTGATTCGCGGCGGGGCGTCCTGTTGTCGAGCTCCTCTTCGGGTGAGTAGTGGGGTGGTGACTCTGTTATGCAAGAATCGTTTATCTTGACCATGCAGTTGAATATGTTTCTTGCTCCTTGTGCAGGTTGTCCAGTTGAAGTCGTTGAAGCTTGAATCGTGGTTGTCGGACTTGCTTGTGTCGAAGCAACTTGGGAGCTTGAAGGCCGCAGTTGTCGCTGTGGTGTTATCTGACGGGACGGGCAATGCGTGCGTGGATGTCCTGATGTTTTGCAGATGTGACAAAACGGAGGTACTGGCTTCGGCTGCTGCTGTCGGTTGTTGTAGTAGTTGTGTCGTCGCTGAGTATGGAAAGCGAACTCCGGTGCTAATGCCTTTTTCTTGTGCCTTTCTTCTTGCAGGTCCATGTCCTGCTGCTCGCCGTGGATTTCGGCGCAA